ACTCGGGCAGCCTCGGCGTCCTCCCCAGAGCCGTCCCCGGGCTGGCCGGCTGCGCCGCCGCTGGCTCTGCGGGGACAGCCGACGTGTCCGCGCGAGGCCGCCGGCGACTGCTCATTAATCAGCGGAGTCCGCGGCTCGTACTACGTACCGTGCGCTCGGTGGTACCTACGCGCCGCGCGCGCCCGGCTCCTCTTGCACAATCACTGGCTCTGCGGCTCCGAGGGGGAGCGAGGGGGAGAGGAAGCGAAGGGAAACAACCCAGAAACTTTCATCTTGGACTGTGCTCAAGCGAGGGAGGGAAGTTCCCTGGTGCCTCCCTCCCAGACACGTCTTTTCAAAAGCCTCCACCAGCAAGAGTTAGTATGATACTACCTTCCGCACAGCACGAAAGTATTACGAGTTCACTGGGATTTTAAGTAGATGGAGGTCGTTAGAAAATGGTTAGTACTCCACTCATTTAAAAAAAATACTGCAGCTGCGTTCTTTTAAAAAAAAACCTGTTTTGTTTGTAGGAGTTGATGAGAACTAAATACTTTATTCAGTTAATTCGATTTTTAAAGTATTGGTAAAGAGGGAAAGAAAGCAGTTTGCCAGGCTGGAGACTACCGCAAGTTTAGAAATAGATCTGCGAAAGATAGTGCAGAGAGCCAGCGCTTTGCAGCATTTAGCTAGCGAACAGCTGTACCACACAGTTCTGGATAGGATAAATACATTTGAATAAGGTGTATTTTGACATATCCTGTAGAGGGACCCTGATTACTGCTGATACAGTAAGCTGGGATTTAAATGCAATCAACACAAACCCAATATGCAACTCTTTATGTGCAGTTTCCCATTCTTGCAAGTTAAAAAGTTCATTTCCTCCCAGAGATACTCCTTGGAGTTGCCGAGTGCTTTGAGAGGTGTATTTCTGAGGCACGTCCCTGCCTGGGTGGCTCTTTTCGTGGTTGGAACACAGAGTGTGTTTTCACTGACCTTAGGACCAAATAACTTGTTCTGGCACTTTAAAAATTAGATGTCATATTCAGGGTTTTCTTGAGTTAGTGGAGGTCGTGTGTGTGTGTGTGTGTGTGTGTGTGTGTGTGTGTTGAAAGGGAAGATTGGTTTAGGTCTCCCTCTAGCTAGAAAAGAGTTAATAAAACCAGATAGAGATAATGATCAATTGATAAATGGCTATTGAACCACATAGATGGTGTTAGATTGCTTCTTTGGCACTAGCCCATTTCCAAGTAGATTTGAATCTAAGGAGACTTTAAGTCATGGAAAACATTTTAGCTAAAAAACAAATAAAAGTAAATTATATAAATGATGGATCAAAGTTAGGAAAATAAATTGAAATCGCTCAGAGACAGAAACTTGTACAGCTGAGCCATTATGATGTCTTTGATCCAGCTGTTTCACTCTGTGGGTGTATAAAAATCTCTTTTGTGTGTACCTGTGTGCATGTATGTGTGAAAGTGAGCATCGGTGATTATATGAAAAGAGTAGAAATATAGGGAAGTAATTTATGCATTATGGGTGCTGTATGAAACTATATAATATTAATTATACTATTTACTAAACAGTAGTACAATAAAGGGAGAAAATCACAATTTAAAAAAGTATAGTGATTTCACCATATTTTATATATTTTCTTTATTTTTTGGTTTTGAAGTAATTGGCAACTCCCCTCCCCCTCTTTTTTCTCCTGTCGTGGTTATTAAATGCTTAACCTCCTCTGCATTTTTGGAAAGCATGTGAAAGAGGGTATGAGTTTACGTGTTTTTTTTTTTTCTCCTTTAGGATGACATTTTAGTTTGTATAAATATTGTGTAAACTTAAATTGAAACTATGTGTAAATCTAAAAATATATGTGCTGTACATGTTTAATATGTTTATTTTCCTGACCTATAGTTCATCAGCAATGCTGATTCAGTGTGTGTGTGTGTGTGTGTGTGTGTGTGTGTGTATGTGCCAGAGCAAGGAAGATATCTCGCAAAGCCAACAGTTTCAAGGAATACTAGTCTCAGTATACACCTTAAGACAGCTTTTGTCTTACTGCAGGTAAAAGTTTGTCCAGTTTAATCAAGCCTGCAGAATTTTGTATTTCTAAGGCATAGAGATTTTTTTCTATATTATTATTTTAATTTCTAAGAAAAATTTGACTTAGCTCTTGAAATGAATACAACTTATTGGGCATATTTTTTATTTCAAAGTTTTCTGTAATAAGAAAAACTGTAGGATTTACCTGACCGTTTCTTTAAATATTAGAAAAGACTGACTAGCAGGTTTTAAAACTGAGTTATAGAGAATTCACCATCCGTAGTATTTAACTACAGCAAAACTTAAGAGTGTGAAATAGCTCATGAATACTGAAATTTAATATTCTAGGGTTGTATCTTCTATGGGTAATTTAGGAAGTAGGGTTATGAAAATCTTTGTCTTTTGTTTTGTATGAGCAAAGTTAGATCTGCTAATATGTAAATCTTCAGTCTGTGTAATTCTAACAAAAAAGATACCACAATCTGAAGCCAATTTAGATTTGGTGGAACTAAGTCTGTTCCCCTAAAGTTTGAGATATGACAATTTGACTGCATTTTCCTGCCTCTCTACATTCTTCTCCTGTATTTGATTGAGTATGATGTTTTCAAAAGGGATAATATTTTTCCATACAGACAGATATTTGGTAACCTTAAAGGGCATGACTCTTGACTTTTGTAAAGGGAGTTCTTCTTTGGGTCACTTTGATCATTGACAGGTCGAGAATAACCAGAAACCCTTTGCTCATCTTCTCTGTTCATCTCCTAGAATCCAGAATGTTATTTTACCCATTTTAACCTCACAAAGTACTGTTAAAAGCACAAAATCAGGACTGCTTTTGGAAGTTGTTGTTGTTGTTTTTAATCAGGCTTTAAATGGCGATTTTTCGATTTCTGTAAATCTTCTGTGCATGTGAGAGAATAGCAAATAAAATTTTTGTAGCTACCTCAAGGGATGCAATAGTCTAATATATTTTGAAATCTTTTCAGAAATGAAACCATAGCAGGTAAAGGGCTAGAGCCCACACTTTTACACATTACTAGAGGCATTTACCTTTTATTATTAGTGAGGTATATTTAACCTGTTTCAAATAAGATGTGGATCCCTTAATAAGGTCTCTTTTCAGAAACGAGTGAAATACTAAGTTAGAATTATAAATGACCCTGTGCATCATTATGTAGTAATTTAGGATTCACCCAATGATGTAACAAAATTAACAACATAATTTCATTGTGAAACTGTGTCTTGTTAAAGAACAACTGTCTGACATTATCCTACAGTTGCTTTATTTAACTTCATGCAAATATTATTAGTAGTGACATTTTTCTATTGTGCATTAGATTGTCTCATTAGCATGATGTGTTAGTTATCACCAGAGAAATCATTTCCTAGATAGGTGAGGGGCAAACCAAGAAAGCTAAAAATTAAATCAGTGATTTACATTAATACCAGAGCATCTGCTCACCAGAGATAGGACAGAGTCAAGCAAACTTTCTCACTAATATAAAATCTAGCCCATTTCAGAGAAATGATAAATAAAATATATTGTCAGAAACATATAATAACATTGCTGGAATCCATTTAAAAGCAGGTTTGAAATGAATTTTTCTCCCAGTAGTCTTTTAGTTCTTTCTATTCATATAGGCAAACACGGTTTCCGTTGGTTGAATCTATATTTTCAAGTGGAAATGGTGGTTTTGTCTGACTTCCTACCTGCCCCTGCCCCCCGCCAAATAATTTGAATGTTTATTCATTAACAGTTTAAAAGGCACATAGACAGTGTTTCTTACAAGTCAGATGCCTAATTGTATATCGTGGTTTGATTCTTCTTTCTAGTTTGTACAATACATTTTTATTCTAAACTCTATCCCAGTCGTGCAGCCCTCCCGTCCCTTTTAACAGAGGATGTATATTCTTATTTAACCAGAGACCTGAGTAAAGCAGTTGATAGTTAATGGTCTTTGAAAATGACTTTCACTGCCAGGCATCATGCATCCCTAGGTTTCTGCACTTTTCCTCCTCCCTTTTTACTCCCCTTCTTACAGTCGGTGTGTTTTAGTAATCATGTCTTACTAAAAAAGGATTAAATTGACCAAACTTACGGTCATGATGCTAAAATAAATATTTATATTATATTAGGAGGCATGTAATTTCAGCTTGTTGAATTGGTAGGCTGCTACCTCCAATTTAGTTCCCCTCTCTAATTTGAGTGATAATGTGTTTTATTTTGAAGTCTTAACTGTAGACATATGTTCACATATAATTCTTATCATCCATTCTTATAATGTAACACTAAAATAGGAATATGTGGATAATTGTTAAAATACAAATTATAGCATAGAGAGAGGTTCCTGTGTGCTGGCCTATACTTTGTAAGTCTACGTATAACATGCAGACTTCATTTAACAGGTACTGTCTAATTTGTAATGCAAGGGAGGGG